GTTGAACAACATTTGAGAAATTCTGGTCTAAAAATTTTAGAAAAAAATGTAGGAGTTTCTGAATATAGAGTAGAAAAATAAAGGTCTGCTGTGACTGCAAATACTTACTTTATTTTCTAAAAGCCCGTGGAGGACAGAAGAAGCCTGTCCACAATGTAGGGCTCTAAACTGCCTCAGAGACAGCCACAGACAGTGTGAGGCCAAGACAGAGTGATGTGACCTTCACTTACTGCTTCCAGGTAGAAAGCAAAACCCCACAGCCTCAAGAGCTACCTGGCAGTGTGTGTTTCCGTGTTAGTGTTGGATGTCTCCTTGTGTCTTTCTGTGTGTGGGTGTGTGTATGCATGTATCTTTCTGAGTGTGTTGATGAGTGTGTGCGTGTGTGTGTGTGTGGGACACGCTGACACGAGTGTGGCCAGTGCATTCCAGCGCGGTTTTTCTGTAGTCCGCTTACCTTCTGCTGCCGGTCAGCGTTTGGCTCAGTTTGGGGCTGAGGTGCTCCGCATTCTTCGTTTTCCTGGTGCTTCAAAAAGGAAGTAGTGGGGTCTGGCTGCCACCTACAGGTGTCCTAATCACCTGCTCATCCCGAGGTTGGGTCACTACTCGAGAAACACGACGGGCGCAACATGCCTACAATCAATTTCCTCCAGCAGCCCTTGGTCCTGTGGCACATCTAAGGCTGTAGGGACCCAGCCGTCCCATCCTCATGACCCCTTGAGGGGCTCCAGTGCTGTCCTTAAACTTATGTGTATTTGCTCTACTTAGGATTCTTGTTAAAAGCCAGATTGTTATTCCTGAGTTGGGGTGAGCCTGAAATTCTGTATTTCTTGTAGGCACTCAGTGGATGCCACTGATTAGGGGTCCTGATTGACATTTGGGGGAGCAAGTCTCAGGATTGTTCTCTTGAACTAAGAAGTGTAGGTGTCGAGTCTGCATTTAAATGTCTTTTCAGAATGTCGTCTTCATTTTTCTTCCTACTTTCCTAAGAAAATTAAAACACACTGATTGACAAAATAAAGGGAAACAGATTGATAATTCATAAATTTACTGTGTTTGAATGACTAATTTAGTTGACTCTTGGTTACCTAAGGACAGATTACAAGGTATGAATTAGTCATGGTATGAAATAACAGTGGGCTTGATATCATAAACAGGTGAACTATCAGTCATGTAAGAAAAATTTAATATATTTGGGGTTTAATGTCATTCTGTTTAGAAATATTTGGTATGTAATCTAGCTTGGGAATGTTCCTTGATCTCAGCTGTCCGGGTAATTTTTGGGAGCAGGGCCTCCTTTTCTGCCAGTCTCTAAGGGACAGTGGTCTGCATGTGGGAATTACAGAATCTATGCATAGAATGTGCTGTGCTTGGTGGAGGTTTCTCACTTATTGGCTGCAAATATTCATGTACTTAGAGTTCTTTGACACATTTCTATATGATATTTGGAATGGTAGATGTATTCTGAAAAACAGGATGTGAATTTTCAGTGAATTACTTTTAAATGATCTTTTATAAGACATTTTAGTTGGTTTTACATTCTCTAGGTTTTCAGATGTGCGAAACCTTTTCCTTCTGCTGATTGCAGTTGCTTAGAAATTATTTGTTTACATAAAGATGAATGCACATGCTTACATGTGGGCAAACGATGTGTGTAGTTAATCCCAGTTTGAGCATTTCAGCTGTAGAAGTCATTTGTGATAAGTTATGAAACCTGAAACGCTCTGAGTAAATCCTAGTTAGGGACAACTAAGAAAGGTTGAGATAATGCTTTAAAATAATTTTTTAGAATTCATTTATTCCATCATTTATATGGTGATTTACAGGTAAAGTACTACAGAGTATATTGACTTTGTTACTTTTTAATTTCTGTTGCATATATGTTAATGAAATAGAGTTGTCTTATGCTGTATTGATTAGACATAGTTAAGTTTTCAAGGACCTAACTTAAGCAAGAAATTTGAAGAGAGGAAATTTATTTTTTACATTAGTTCAACATTAGGTATATGTATCATTGTTCTTCTGAGAACCATCGGAGGAAAATGTGACTTTTCTCCCGAGGAAGAAAAACATGAGGTTGGAATATGTTAAGCCCTTTACACAGTGTAAAGTTTGAGAAATATTTTTGCTTAAAATCATTTCCATCATATCCTGATTTTGATTGGTTATGTTTCATTATATTATTCCTTAGGTGTCCGGAAAGAGTTCCTGGAGAGAGAAGACAAAGGGAGTCTGTGTTTCAAAAGAAGCCCAAGGCTGAAGATTGAAGAATTGCATATGCAACTTTGCAAGGGACTTGGAGACAAGGAAATTCTTGTCAGGTAAGTTGGATGCTAAAACCTTGTCTTTAGAAATTAACTGTCTATGTCTATTATGTTCTCATCACAGGAAAAAAAGTGGAAATAATTGGAATATAAGACCTATCTTAAAATATTCTTTATCGGAAACAGTACTTCAGAAACAGATTTAATCCACTTATTAAGCTCCCACACATGGTTGAACGCTGGATGTAGATGTAAATAAGAGTGATAATCTGACACAAGGAATTACTTTTTTCTGGAGAAGAGATGTTGACAACAGTCTCTCTTTAGAGGCCAAAGAGGCAATTTGATCTAAACACTTTATACTAAGGTAATGATGTTTCATGTCAAAACAATAAAGTTTCTAAGCTTTCTTAGCCTACTGTAATTGTTGAAATTTGCGTTAAATGCTTCTCTCTGGTGATATAAAGAAAGTTGAAAAGATGGCCCAGAAAGATTCTTTTTTTTGTTCTGTTTTTCTTTCTTTGTTTCATCTGGTAATTCCTTCTTTTAATCAGTCCTAATGCTGATCAGGAATCTCACCTGATGAAGCACCAAGCTCCTCCAAATAGTCCAGAAGATACTGATCAAAGCTCTGAGTGGGGTGGGCCAGTGAATGGGTGAACAAAAAGCTAATTTGAAAGAGGCATCAGACTTTCAAAGGACAGTGGCACAAAGGTTCTTCCAGTTGTTACAGGGAATTTGTAAGGGAACCCATTCCTATTTCTTTACAAAATTCTCTTCTGGTAAAACCTCATTAAATTAACTGAGGACACACAAATTAAACATTTCTGAAATAATAATCATATTGTTAAAACAAAGATATGAATGTTGTCCGGTTTTTACATATTTACCTCAAAAATTATATTTTTACTTCAAAGTGATACATCGATTTCAAAAAGAATAAACCTATTTTGATAAAACAAATATATTAGTATTTGTTAGGTTTTTAAATATTTATTTCCAAATCATGTCATCGATTTTTATAATTGTGAATGTCACTTGCTGTAATTTCTCAAAGAATGGCATGAAGTCTTAAATTTTATGAGTTTTTTTATACCACCAGTGAGAAAGATCAAGCAAAAATTATAGTAGAGAAAGAGAAAATCCTTCAGCAAATCTCGGAAAGTTGAAAGAAATTGGCTAATATTCTGGACTCAGTTTATGTAGAATGTCTTGGGAGCTTTCCTAAAGGTTAAGTTTCCAAAAAATATAGGGTAAAGTACTAAGTAGTTCCATGTTCACAAGATACACATAAATAATTTGGACTGCTGTATGGCAAAAATGACACCCCAACATGAGTCTAACACAATAATGTAAATGACAAAACAAAAATAAAGAAAACAATAACAATCTTCTATAGTGGAGGATTAAATTCAAGAAAATTTGGTGGAGGTTGAGGATGGACTTAAGGATGATAAATTTGAAACAGTATTTAAAAACATAAAGAGCTTGTGATTCTCTTATTAATTATTTAAACCTATATGAGTATCTCCTGTGTCTTACTGTCTTTAAAATACCAGATTGATTGAGCTCTTTTTGCCAAAGGACTAAACCTATTAGTATTCATCAGGACTAGTGTGTGTGTGTGTGTGTGTGTGTGTGTGTGTGTGTGTTTGATATGAGTTTGATTGAGGTCTTTTTGCTGTAGGATATGCATGACTTATCAACACTGAACCTGTTGAGTGCCAGGGATTTCACGGAGCTAAAGAGATTGGGGTTGGCTGGGTGCATGCCAGGTGACAGATAGTGATCCCGGTGTGGGGTTGGGGCATCCTGCCCTTTTGCCGGCTCCTCCTGGCTCCTCTGGCACGAATACCTGAAGGAGGCTTGGACTCTGGCACAGGCCCTCTTCCGATGGCAGATGTCATCTTACTGTGCTTGGCTTCCTTGGGGGTTCTCCGCGGCATCTCTGGGCATCTGTCTCGGGCTTGGATTCACCACAGAAATCTTTGGAGACACCCTCTACACCTGTTCGGCCCCCATGGGAAGCCAGTTCCAGGTGTCGCCACCTTGCTGCACACTGGGCGTGCCTCCTTGTGGTTGTTCCCTCCATGAAGAGACAGTAGTGCTGAGAAGCAGGAGACCCTGGGCTTGGAGATCAAGGCAGGGCCCCTTGGTGGGTGGCCCAGGTCGAAAAGTGGCAGTCAGATTATGGGGCCGGGTAACGTTCTGGTAACACCCGGAGTGCCCGCTTCCTGGCCTGAAGCGCTCTCCTCCTGCACCCGACCGGAACCGAAGAGTGGGCTCAAGGAAGTACTGAGGTCAGGTCTATCAGGGGCCTATGCTGCTCGTGGCACGCAGCCTCCTTCCAGGCGCCGCCCCTGCCACCGACTCCACCTTGTACCTGTGCGGCAGCGGCTGGACAGCGCCAACATCGCGGCTCCCCAGCTGGGCAGACGAAAGCGCATGCGCAAGCGGCCTGTCACAAGCGCCAGCGCTGAGCCCGGGCTCGCGTCACAGTAACAGCCACCGTTGCCTGGGGAACGATCACAGTGGCTTCCCAAAGCAGCGGTCCTCTGTGGCAGTGCCTCAGCATCGGGCAACGGACTCTTTCTCCACGCGATCATCGCTGAGTCCTGCGATTTTAGGAATCCGGCAGGCCGAGCCAGGCAGAAGAAAGATCTGTCGGGGCTTCAGGGATGTCCATGACCCTCCCCAAGAATCAACAAGATGCTGCAGGCCTGCCCAAACAGTGTGAGGGTGCCGCTGGTTGAAAGCTCTCTCGGCTGGGTACGGCCTGCCTGCCTGTGGCGGGGCTGCTCTGTCCCCGAGGGAACTGGGAGCTGCAGAGAGTGATGCAAGGGAGGAGAAGCCAGGCATTTGCTGGCTGCACAGGAAGGGTGAGTTTCCGACAGGACCATGCACACCACACTGCCCCACAGTTTAACCAGGAAACCCAGTTCCTGAGCCATTGTTGTGGATGCTACTGCTGCACCCTGCACTACTTGGTGGGTGATTTATCACCTGCTTAGTAACTTTCTTAGCTGGAAGACACTCGGAATTAACGCACCACCTTTAAATGTCTGCTCCTTGAACATTTGGCTGTCAGGCCGCAGATAACAAGCTCCTGGAGCTATCCTGGGATGTGGAGGAGACAGAGAAAGGACCCTGATTAGGAGTGGACAAGGTCATTCTGCAACCATCTTCATCACACTCACAGCAGCCAAGCTAGCACCACCAGCAAATGCTGATCCCATCCTAGAGCAGTCAGGGGGCCTGCTGTCCTGCTCCATGCCAAGGCATCCCCCAGGCTGCCTGACTGACAGCGGGGAAAGTGAGACTCCTGTGGGTGAGCATCTTCTCATGAGTTTCACTTTGTTTTTGGGCATTAACTAACCTTTTGAAATCATTTGCTGACTTTCGTTTGATTGCGATAATATTCACATAAAATAAAACTCACCATTTTAACCATCTTAAAGTGTACAAATCAGAGGTATGTAGTATATTCACAATGCCACCCAAACATCAATGCTACCTAATTCAGAAAGATTTTCATCACTCCAAGAGACACTCCATGCCATTAAGTGGCTACTCAACCCCCAGACAATAAAAACCATCAGTCCATGTTTTGCCCCTATGGATCTGGCTATTCTGGACTTTCCTAGGAATGGCATCATGCTGTGTGTGGCTCTCTTTGACTGGCTGTATTCAATTAGCACCGTGTTCTCAAGGCGTTTCTGTTCTGTGGCATGCACGCCTCAACACTGCTTTTTTTATGGCTCATTGAGACCCCACAGGATGGATGGACCAACTTGGGTTGTTCCCTCTTTTGGCTATGAATACTGCTTCTATTAAAGTGGTATGCAGGCATTTATGTAAATGTATTTTCAGTTTTCTCGAGTACACACTTGGACGTGAACATTACATGTCACTACTTCCCAGGCACTGCCTCTAAAGGTGATGTTTTATGTTTACACATACAGGGTTCTATGATTTCATTCCATTCTGGAATAGTACTGAGCAATATAGGAGGGAAGAATTTCTAGGTCTGTTCCCTTATATTATGCAATATTGAAAACCTCTGTTGGGAAACATCATCATTATACATAAGTTTTTCCATAAACACACTCATATCATATGTATGTGTGTGTGTGTGTATATTTACTTATCTATATCTGTCTATATTCATACAGAGCAACAATATAGAAAACATTATTGATAGGCAGAATCAATGTAAAGAATATAAAAAGTAACTTCCATACATCTGACCTGTCTGCCTATACGCCATATCCACAATAGTACACAAATAAAGGTACACTCTGACATACATCCTGCTGCATGTTATGTGTACTAGAAAACCATTCATTCCTGCTGCTCATTTCTGTGAGTAGAAACATATAAAGCCCACAGCATCATTCAGTGCCAGGTTGATGTTAACCCTTCCTCCTTCTGGTGAGCACCAGGTCAGAGATCAACTGGCCCCATTCCAAAGGCCTTCACACAGATCTGAGAATGCTGACTTCTCTTCAGTGTTTTCATCAAGGCAGGAGATTTTCTCTTTTTTTCTATTAATGTTTGATGTAGAAACACACTCCTGTCTTTAATTTTTGCTGGCTGGAGAAATGTCTTTATAGTTATGGGGGAAAAAAAGCCTAGATCTATTTCTTAAAAAGAGACTGCCATACTGAGAGCAAATGTTAGGGTACATGGTACCTGAGCAGAAGACAACAGGCCGGAGTTAACATACACCCTAGGGCCAAAACTGGCTGTATTATGGAGGCCAGTTTTTCTGTCAAAGTCTTTGCCTGCTGCAGTTAGCCAGCTCTTCCCAGCCCTAGCTGGATGGACAGACCTTCACTGGGCTGGTTTCCTGAGCCCCTGAATTAAAAACACCTGGGTGCCAGGTAAAAAGGACTTTGTCACCAGTAGAAGGAGAATGGAGTGGGGCGTTTGGCTTCGATTAGATAAACTTGTATTTAGCTAATTGGCCCGTTGGATTCACTTGGGCTGGAGCAGCTGGCGTGAGAGATGACCACTGACCTAGTGTTTTATGGGGCTTTCTTTTGTATCAATACAGAAAGGTAGATAAGTAAACACACATATATACAGCATTATATGAATACTTCTATGTGATGTCTATGCTAAAATGCCCCAGATAAAATCGAGGTCAAAGGCTATTTTAGGTTCCAGCCCCTATAGCCCAGGAGAGTCAATTCAGCCAATTAGCTCAGCCCAGGTGAGTTCAATCAACCAGTGAGGTGATGTGGGACTGCTGAAACATCAAGACAGGCCCAGAAGGATGGAAGTGAAAAACACAGACATCCCTCAGGGAAAAGCACAGGGCCCTGAGATGCTGAGCGGGACATGACACCTTATATTGGCAGCACAGCTCACTCACTTCCTGGACTTTTGCCTAAAGGTGAAGCTTTATGTTCATATGTACAAAATTCTGTGGTTGAGCTCCATCCTTGGATGGTATTGAGCCATACAGCAGGAAAGAAAGACAACGTCTGTGCCCTTAGGATAGGCTGGAGTATTGAAACATCTGTTGAAAAATATTGAATGTATACTGAATACTTCCATAGGTATCTCAGATAATACTCCTTGCCTGTGCTTATCTGTCTACTTGTCTACATCTATATCCATGTGTGTATATATCTATCTACATTGAAACAGAGTAAATATACACAAGGTAGAAGTATTGCTAGGTATTAAAATAATAATATAAAAAGGCTTCCATACATGTAAAGACTTATGTGCTCTTTAAACTATATCTAAAATACTACACAATGAACATATACTCTGAAAGCATCCTGATGCATTCTATGTATACTAAGGAATGATTGATCTTTACTCCCCACTTCTGTGAGCAGTAAATTCACTAAGGCCATGGGAGTCATTCACTGTGAGGTCAATAATGACACTTTTCTTTTCAGTAGACACCAGGCCAGGAATGAACCAGCCATAGTTCAAAGGCTTTTGCCCAATTTATTTTATTTGGTTTTTGGGATAGAGTCTCACTCTGTCACTCAGCCTGGTCAAAGGTCATTTTATATTCCAGCACCTACAGCCCTGGTGAGTCAATTCAGCCAAATAGGTCAGCCCATCTGAGTCCAACCAGCTAATGAGGTGACTTGGGACCACTGAAGCATCACGGCTAAAGTGCAGTGGCACAGTCTTGGCTCACTGCAACCTCTGCCTCCCAGGTCAAAGCGAGCCTCTCAGGTAGCTGGGATTACAGGCACACACCATCCCGCCCGGATAATGTTTTTTTTTTATATTTTTAGTAGAGACAGAGTTTCACCATGTTGGCCAGGCTGGTCTCTAACCCCTGACCTCAAGTGATCTGCTGCCTCAGCTTCCCAAATGGCTGAGATTACAAGCATGAGCCACCGCGCCCATCTGACAAGGACACTCTTGTCTTTCAGGGTTGGTTGCTAGAGAGAGGTTTATTTGGGTAAAGAAAAAAACTCTAGGTCTGTGCCCTGAAGATAAACTGCAGCACTGAAAGCAAATGTAGGGAAACATGGTTCCTGGGCAAAAGACAACAAGGTTAGAGTCAACGCATGCCCAAGTGCCCAAAGCGGCTCTTACTGGCCAGTCCAAACATCCTGTGTGTCAAAGACTACACCCACCTGTGTCAGCCAGTTCTCAACGACCCTAGCTGCATAGCCATAAAGGTGCTGGGTAGGTTTGATGAGCTCCTGAATTAAACCAAACCTCAGTGCCAAATAACAAAGGCTTTTTTTACAGGTACAAGAATGCGAAGTGGTGCTTGGCTCAAATTGAATTCACTTTGACTGAACTAATTGTCTGATTGGCTACATATAGGATACAGGGGATAGAAACAAAAAAAGACCTCTGACCCAGTTTTCTTTTGGAGCCTTTCTTTGTAGATATTCTTACAAATAGGCAGACCCATAAACACACACACAGGATTACATGAGTATGTCTATGTAATTTGTGAGTACATCTGTGTATAGAAGCCCAAATAAAAACTAGGTCAAAGGTCCTTCCTTTTCCAGTCCCTCCCTCCAGCCCAGGTGAATCTACTCAATTAGCTCAATTAGCTGATGGGAAAGGTGAGTCCCATCAGCTAATTGGCCCAACCCAGGTGAATTCCACTCAAGAAGTGAAACTGCTTAACGAGTAAGGCAGGCCCACAGTGGCAGATGTGAGGAATGCAGGCCTACATCCAGAAGAGAATCTGGTCCCTGAAGTGTTAAGGTGGACAAATAACCTTAAGTGGAGGTTGGGCAAAGTGACTCATGCCTGTAATCCTAGCACTTTGGGAGGCTGAGGCAGGTGAATGACCTGAGATCGGGAGTTCAAGACCAAACTGACGAACATGATATAATCCTGTCTTTACTAAAAATACAAAAATTAGCCAGTTGTGGTGGTATGCACCTATAATCTCAGCTACTTGGGAGACTGAGTCTGGAGAACCACTTGAACCCGGGAGGCAGAGTTGCAGTGAGCCAAGATTGCACCACTGCACTCCAGCTTGGGTAAAAAGTGTAAAATTCTGCATCAAAAGGAAAATAAAATTAAACTGGCAGTATCGTCAGCTTATGTGCCAGGCCTTGCTCCTAAAAATAAAATTTTATGTTTACACATACAAGCTTCTATGGCTGTTTTTCATTCTAGGATGGTATTGAGCCATACAGAAGGGAAGATAGACTAAGTCTTCACCCTTAAGACAGGTAGGGTTACTGACAGTGTCTGTTGGCAAGTACCCCAATGTATATGTGCATATTTACATAGAAATACTGATATATTTCTGTGTGTATGTGTATTTATATAAATATCTACATGTATATATCTACGTATCTCTATTCATACAAGATGTAGATATAGAAGCTAGAAGTACTAATATTTTTAGGTCCTGATAGTAATATAC